CCGCTTTGGGCTCCTCTCCCCCCCCCCTCACGTGCACACAGGCCCTGGGGGGAGGCTGGTTAACCCCCCCGCTTTGGGCTCCTCTCCCCCCCCCCCTCACGTGCACACAGGCCCTGGGGGGAGGCTGGTTAACCCCCCCCCCCTGGGCACCCGGTCCTGGGGTGAGCCTGGTGTTTGTCACAAGCACGTCGAGTTGGCCACGCTGCCACCTGTTCTGCTGCTCTGTAGCATACACTGTATTTTCCTGCTCCCTTCTAGTCTCTTTCCCGAGAATACAGTTGTGTTTCTATGCACATTTCATTCAAAAATGCAAGCTCCCCCCCCCCGCCATGAAGGCTATTTAAAAAGACCCGGTCCTGGGGTGAGCCTGGTGTTTGTCACAAGCACGTCGAGTTGGCCACGCTGCCACCTGTTCTGCTGCTCTGTAGCATACACTGTATTTTCCTGCTCCCTTCTAGTCTCTTTCCCGAGAATACAGTTGTGTTTCTATGCACATTTCATTCAAAAATGCAAGCTCCCCCCCCCCGCCATGAAGGCTATTTAAAAAGAAAATGTGGTCGGTGTGGTTTTCATCATGTTTAATACAAACTAGAGACTGCTAATGACTACACTGGTACCGCTTAGAACTCTAGCATGGATTCTTTTAGATTCAGCACTTCTGAGAAACTAGCTAGTGCTCAGAGTGGTCCTTGCTTTTAATATTGACAGGGCATGCCTCTTATGACTATAACCGGTCCTTGATCTTATTCGCCTGTGTATTTCTATTAAGTCCAATGGAACTACGGTAGCAGCAATGCTGACCGCTATATGGGTAATATTTGCAGGTTTTGACCCATGGCTTGTCAAATCAAATAAATGCTTGACGTTTACATGCATTTATAGATAAGTTTCTGAGCTCATGGCAATAAAGGAATCTTTTTGAAAATGTGGAAATAATATTTTTATATAAATATTTAAATGACCAGCTAAGATAATTTAATGCTGATACTAGGTACTTGTTTAAGGGCGGCTGAGTTACAGTTCCTTTTCCATTAAAGATCTGTGGAGGCAGTTTTGCATGGGAGAAAAGTAGGTTACTTAAAAGCTACCAGTATTCTCTGAAAATATTGCCTTCACAGACAAACACCCATCCTCCCAACTTCTTTGCTTTTCCATAGCATTTGTGGTGGGCAAGTCAATAGGAAATGAGGAATTCAGCCTGTGATCAATAGGCAATGAACCAGGACACCCCAACGTAGTTAACTGCTTTAAATTGTTCCAAGTGTCTCAGCAAAGTGTGTGAATTTGTGAGGACAGTATATCCACAGAAATTATTACTAGTAAATAATATAGTTTGGGAATGTGGGAGTAATTTTTAAAAGGAGGAATTTGTCAGATATTTTTTTCATTCTTAAAATTGCTTCAGCTCTTTGTGATAAAGTCTTGTTTATCCACAGTGAATTCCTTTTTACCCACAAAACAGGTACTATAGAGGTGGTGACAGAGTGCTTCCCCACCCTTATTAGCCAACATGCCTCAACACTGCATTGGGTGGGGGGAATATATGGAGGGGTGAGTGGAAAGATATAGCCTCAATAACCAGCTGAATCCTTGGCCTATCTGCTGAGATAGCCAACAAGTGATGTTAGTTGTGATGGCATATGCAACATGGACAACCTGTTAGCTAGGAATTGGACTGGAACTGATTTTGTCTATGTCTGTGACAAGCTGTCTGTGCAGTCTCAGCCACACATCGAATGTTTTAATTCTGTAGTATCTTCCCCCAGAGATGAATTTTGAATCCCCAAGTGCTAAGCAACTTTGAAATTCTTCTTCAAGAGGAAGGAGTCTTTTTACCCTGCAGTATTTTTACCCTCTCTATCCCAGCAGGAGAGTAATACCTACTTTCTTCCCTTTGCTTTAGGAAAGGATGTTCCCAAGAGGTTACTGACCCCAGACTTCCCAAAGTCTTACTTCTGCAGGTAAGTGTATTGAATTGTCACTGCTAAGAGTTTTCACATGGTAGAAAAGGACACTTTCTCAGTAAAACTGCTCTTGCAGAGCAGAAGAACCTCAGCTTTTGGGGAAAATTTCAACTTTATTGGAAAGATACAGACTTTCACAAATACACTGAGTCCAAGGGTCATTGAGAATCTGAGATTGGTAGAATAGTGATAGAGATGCAGCCGTGTTAGTCTGGTGTAGCTGAAACAAAAGACAGGACTATGTAGCACTTTAAAGACTAACAAGATGGTTTATTAGGTGATGAGCTTTCGTGGGCCAGACCCACTTCCTCAGATCAATATTGATTATTTTGATCTGAGGAAGTGGGTCTGGCCCACGAAAGCTCATCACCTAATAAACCATCTTGTTAGTCTTTAAAGTGCTACATAGTCCTGTCTTTTGTTTGAGATTGGTAGAGGCTTTAAGAACAGTTGCTTGTCCCTTGAGTATGTCATATGGATCATGGTGGCAGGATGGCAGTCTGTGGTGCCAGAAGTGCTTGGGAATAGATTTGACTGCACCCACTGAGATGACTTGTCAAAATGTCAGTATTATTGTAGCTGTATCTCTGCAGTAGCTACCCAGTAATATTAATACTCACGACTTGTACACTTAACAACACACTCCAAATAAACAGTATTCTTACCGCAGAACTTATCTTGGAAATTAATACATTACTCTTATTTTAAAAAGCGCTCTCTCATTGTGTTCTGTTTCAGCTGGTGTTCTTCTTCTTAGTTTGACTCCTTGCTGTTTATATTAAGTGTAACACAAAATAAACAATAGTCTTTAATAATGAATCTTATTTATATTATTTTTTACTTATATGTGTAAACACGTGCCTTGTGTGCAAACATCTCATCATGTTTACATAATCAAAATCAGCAAATCCTATAGCCTACAGTAGGCAGCATCAGTTGTCAGCCTCCATTCTCTAAAGTTGCCATCTGCCAGAATTCTTTCTTATGGCTTTTAACAACTAGATTTGAGATCAACAGCACTTCCTCAGTTCTTAAAAACTGTTTGCTCTTGGAGGAGGTGGTTGTGATGGGCAGGACCCCCCTTTTGAGGTGACACCTGATGTATTGGGGTCCCACTGAGCATGCTCGTTCCATCAGCGTGGGTCCCCTCATCCTGTCCCACTGTGCTTGGCCCTCAAGCCATCTCTAGTGGGCACGCAGTCTGTTCTGTATAGGAAGACTCAACTTGGGGATTTCCCAGCACTAGCCTGCACACGCCCTCTCAAGTGTAAACCCCAAATTATATCCCCTTGTGCTATATAGAAATCTATATAACACATGCTCATAAAAATTGCCCCTTTTCTCAGTGTGAAGGAAGATATGCACAGCTTTTTGCTCCCCATCCCGTTATAAATTGCACAAACTGGGTTTTAGAATAAATAAAAAACAAGTTTATTAACTGCAAATGTTAACTTTTAAGTGATCATAAGAGATAGCAAACAGAACAAAGCAAGTTCCTGAACAAATAAAACACGCAAACTGGGCTGAATACTTAGCTACAAATAGCAAAATCTCATTGTAAATGTTGTTTTATGCAGGTTGCAGACTTTCTTGGAGGTAAATTGCACTGCTTGAAGTTTAAATCTCCAGGTATATCCTTCACTGGCTGACCTTTTTTCTGGGCTCCGCCCCAGTTCAGTGCCTTTCTTTCTTCACGTTTTTGCAATCCTTCTTGGCTGGGGAGGCAATGGAGACCCAAAATTAACTCCCCAGCCTTAAATATTTAACTTCCATTAAATAGGATTTTTTCTCCTAGAACACCTCTTACAATGGAAAAATAGCAGCCCATTTGTTTGCAGTCTGAGATGCCGTTTGGGTTGATATGTGTTTTAGTAGGTAAATTCCTGGACTGTTGTTGCTCATTAAAAGTGCTGTCAGATGTCTGGAAATTGGGTAAATATTGCATTTTATTAATATCAGCAGAACTGACTTAAATGGGGCCTGCGTGTTCTATAGTCTTGCCTTATTTTTTGTATTCATTCATGTCAGTGTGAAATAAGCTATTTGCATATCTATTTGCATGTATATGCAACCACACTTAAGTTGTGGCCCTCCGCATGTGCTGTGAGTATCATTATGGTCCCCAGGGCTTCCAAAGTTAAGTAGCCCTGCTGTAGCGGGTGTGGGGGGCGGGTGGATTGTTCCTCCCGTCCAGACCTCTGGTTAATCAGGTAAGCATACTGGTAATGCTAATGCTTACTGGTTAACCGGGTAACTGTTAACCTTGCAGGGTAACCATAACCTTGCCAATGATATGTCACGTGACCCATCTTCCATAATATCTATCATAATTATGACATATTCATATCATAACAGTATTTCCATGAAGAATATGGGGTGTAACATCACAGTGGTAAAGTCTGAATCAGGGATATTAGGGCAGCTTATTGAAGAATCATGAACAATAGTAGAACAGTGTCTCTGTCACCCATGGGCATTACGTCCATGGAAGGTTTTATACTTTTAAAACTTCCATTACCCCTTCCCTCCCCCTGCAATTTCCTGCCTTAAGTTTTGTCTACATTACCAATTGAGAGAGAACTTTTTCATTCACAGGTGCTTACCTCCTACCCCTCGAAAAACAAAAGATTTGATGCAACAAGCAGCAGCATAAACAGCTTGTTGCTGTCAGGACTTCTCTCCTGTTGACAATGCAAGCCCCACTCATAGGGAGTAGAAGTATTTTGTCAGGAAAAGTGCTGACAAACAGTATTTATACTGCCCAACTTTTAGTGTCACGGCCGGGTTATAATGTAGACAAAGTCTTAATGTAGTCTTGACAAGCTGATGAAAGTTCCTTATAAACCCGTGGGCTGTGTCTACACTGGCCACTTATTCCGGAAAATCAGCCGCTTTTCCGGAATAACTTGCCAGCTGTCTACACTGGCCTCTTGAATTTCCGGAAAAGCAATGACAATCTACTGTAAAATTGTCAGTGTTTTTCCGGGAAAAACTATGCTGCTCCCATTCGGGCAAAAGTCCTTTTCCGGAAAAACTGTTCCGGAAAAGGGCCAGTGTAGACAGCACAGTAGTGTTTTCCGCAAAAAAGCCCCGATCGCGAAAATGACGATCGGAGCTTTTTTGCGGAAAAGTGCGTCTACATTGGCACGGACGCTTTTCCGGAAAAGCATCCTGCCAATGTAGACACGCTTTTTCCGGAAATACTTATAATGGAAAACTGTTCCATTTTAAGCATTTCCGGAAAATCATGCCAGTGTAGCCCTAGCTATGGTGTCCAACCAGTTCTGAAGCAGTAGGCCCTATAATAGTTGCAGCTATAGCGAACTAGCCACTCTCAACCAGCCAAATAGCCACATTGTTCAAGCTAATTAGCCACACTCAACCGGCCAGATAACCACATGTGGGTAGAAACTAGCATGTTGAACACCACGGTTATAAACCGTTTATTGGTAGTAGTGATGTCAGCTTATAACATGAATAAGTTTCAGGTCCTATGGTTTGATCCATCCAATACCAGATTATACAAGCAATTGGTGATGTGCCAGTGTTTCTTCTACTCCCACATATTCATCCCAGTGAGGCTCTTCTCTGTGCATCCATTATTGAAAGGCCCTGGGTATTCTGCATGAAGCAGACTAAGGGAACACAGAAATTGTTTGCCTGGGTCAGAACAATGGTCTGCCTAGTCTAGTATCCTACTTATAACAGTGGCCAGTGTTTCACAGGCAGAAACCCTGCAGTAGAAGATCTGGGATAGTCTCGCTTTAGTAAAGTTTACTTCTGTCCCTCAGTACCTAAAGGTAGTTTATGCCTCCAGAGTTTGAGGGCTTGTCTACATGGTAAAAGAAACCAAACTAACTCCTTTAGGTGTAAATCACATCTTTAGTAATATCAGTACAAGTTCATGTAAGCATGTTCTGGTTTTGAAAAATTGCTCAATTGTCCATAAAAATTGACTTGCTTTTATTTTCTATTTTTATATAATTTATCCATGCACTGACTTGCAGTGATGAGTAATTATTGTTGCGTTTTGAACTTTATTTTCATTCCATTTACCCTTTAGACAAACCCTAAGGGATTATATTCTGTCCCAATCTCTTGTTTAGTTTTTAATCCTATAAAACTCCTGTTGGCCTCAGAAATATCCAGGTGGGGTTTTTTTGGCGGCGGGGGGGAGACGGGGACGACGACGACTAGTCAATCTTTCTATTCTGATACATTTTTCTTTGGGACATACCCCATGATAAATCACTTTGCATTCAATTATCCTATTGGCTTCATCTCAGTCTTGCTCCTGGACTTTTGCTTCTTAGTGAAAGAATCCTGTGAAAATGTTGCTTTGTCAGAAACAGAATTTCAGAGATATAATGCTCCATAGTCACCCTCAATAAATCCTTAAAAGGACACTCTCAGTTCAAATCCCTCTGATAAGCAGTGTGAGTCAACAAATGCATGTGACCTGCTAATCCCTTGGTTTAATTTTCATGACCATTGACTCATTTTTTTGCCACTTTGTAGACTGCTTTGCAGGCCCATAATAAGGTCCTTAATTTTCCTACACCTGTCTGTGACCCCTGTGTCCAAGATCTTTGTAATCTCTCTTACATTTTGAGAATAATAGCACATATGACATCCCTTCTGAAGTAGGAGCATTCAGTACATGGAAAATGTAGAAAATATGAATATTCTGGTCTGTCTAGCCAGCGACAATTATTTCACATTTTGTGGTAAGCACTGGTTCATTTTTAGTGTCCTCCTGAATGATGGTATATAACGTTGTTCTAGCTGTGCCATAGGAAAAAGAATAGAATATTTCTTTTGTTAGCTAGCAGTTCAGAACCATGACATAATATATTTGCATTAACATGCCCCTTTGTGCCCTTAAATTTCAATGTCTCCTCTGTGTGTTTCCAAGAATAAAAGACATTGTTATAATCAAGATGCTGTTATTCTGTGATATTCCTTTATTGGGAAAGGAGCAATGAAGATCAAGGCGATGACTTGAGACCAATGTGAATTTTTAGCCTGACAGTAATTAAATCAGCCTTGAAAGATTCTCTTTCTCTAAAGCAACTGATTCTTTGTTGACAAAAGAGAAAATTATTATTAGTTTTACTAACATCACTGTCAGTCACCTGATAAAGAGCAGGCAAGAATTTGTGCCTGTGCTGGTAAATTGTACTTGACAATTTTGCCCAGATAAATTACATTTTTTTTTGGCCATTTTCAGTCTTTACTGAACCGCGTATAGTTCCATTCTATGCTCATTGAGGGTCATGATGCAAATGTGTCTGGTCTCTGTCTGTGTGCTATTTAACCAAGCCCTGATAAAACCGATTGTGGCATAGTAGGGTCACAGTACAAAAGATCATTCTTTTCTTTTTGTCACTGGAGAACTCTTATATTTTGTATTGGAAATACCAGGTTTAAAGATGAATGACAATTGAAAATGTGCTTCATGTCCTTTTCATGTCTTTTTAGACATTTAAAGGGGAACTGCAATTTTTTGCTATTTTTTGAAGAATTGCTCTTTTGTAAGTTGGCTTTGCTATAGGATTGTGAGCTTTTTCATTCCTTAATTGAAAGGCAATGTGGGAATGAATAAAAAGAGAGTATCCCAAGTGATTGTTTTTTCTTGTCATCCATCAAACTGAATAATCAGAACTTAAAAGTCTGAGTAAAAATTACTTCTCTAAATTAAACAGTAGTTTAACTCCCTTCCCTCCCCCCCCCCAAGGTCATTTTACCAGTCATTCATAGTCTTTCATGAAAACTAGCATAAAGCCAAGAACTGAATTTCTAGTGTAAAAGACAAGGAGGATATTTTTTTAAACAACCACTTTTCTGTCCGTTATCTACTATATATTTGAGAGCGTTTGCGTGTCTGTCCATCTGCCCATCTGAGAGAGGCACTGCCTCCAGGCTGCTAGCCCCCCTCCTGGGGAGTTGGCTGCGTTGCAGTTTCTGCAGTATAAATCGTATATAAAAACTTTATACTACAGAGCCCTCAGTGTGTGTAACCTTTCGGATTTTTAGCAGTTACATTTTTAAATGATTTTTTTACATCCCTATTTCCTATTCCCAAACCATTATCAAAAGGTGGTTGGGGTTGCAAGATAATTAATCATAAGGCACCATAGTCTGTTGTAGATATTATTTAAGTGGGGTAGGACATAGGACCTGGATCTGTCCGTAAAGAAAGACTGAATTTTTTTAATATATTCATATAAATCTCATCTGTTGTGTGAATTCCAACTTTAGTTGAGTTGTGATTCTCAGAGAGGTCTGGTTTGGTGCCACTGGAAAAGATGTTCTGCATTGTTTTTTGGGGGAAATACTATGAGTGCAAATTATAGAAAGATAGAAATACAGGGGTAGAAGGACTTCAAAAGGGTCATCATATCCATTTCCCTTACACTGAGGCAGGATCAAGTATGTCTAGACCCATGGTAGAGGACCCAAGCAGTGCTGGGTAAATCTTCAGTGCAGGGGGATGTTGGAGTCACGGGTTGGAGGTTGAGGAGGGGCTCAGGGCAAGGGACTGGGGTGATAGGGGAGGAATGCAGGACTGCTAGCAGCTCCCTTCCTTTCTGTGTAATAAAAAGCATCTCATTGTTCTGACACAACCAAATCCTTACCTTGCTTTAAGTTATGATAAGAGAAAGCTGCATATCAAATGTAGTGTGGTCCTAGCTCTTACCCCTTAGGAGGAATTCTTGGGCAAACAGATGGATGGACAGACAGACAGACAGACTTGCTCGCTCACCGACAAACTCTCTCAAATATATAATAAATTAGGAAGTTTTCCTAATATTTAAGTTACATGATGATAAATGGAGACGAGACTCAGAGAGGCTTAAAAGGCTGGTGTATTTACTGAGGGGGATGGAGAGAGAGGTAGAAGATTATATAAGTTATTCAAGTTTAGGTTCATTGCAAAGTTTGTTTCCAAGAGCTCAAATTTATCATATAGGAAAAATATTTTAAAATGTTAATTGTAATGCAACATAGCTCCAGCACAATGTTTTGTAATGTCATTCCTTTTCCAAAGCCAGCTTAATTTTCTCTTGTTGGTTTCATAATGTTCATAGCTGTGGTTCAGACCCCTACTTGATTACTGTGGGAGTGATTTAACAGCCTTTTGAAGCCAATTTTATTTTATTTACATCTCCAGCAGCAGGTTGGCCCACATTCTCTTTAGAAGGCATGGCACTCTGATCTTTGCAGATGTGAAGTTAACCAAAAAAATGGTATGTTAATGGGTAGAACAAAAAGTAATCTGAAAATGACCTCCTCTTTCAAGACTTAAGAGGTTTGTAAACTGTGCATTTATCACTTATGGAAATCCCACCTGTAGTTGCCATGAATAGGGGGGGATGGTCCAAAAGACAGTGTCTGTTAAGATGTGGTGTACTCCGTGGAAAAAGTTTGAGAGCCCCTGGCTCACCTTAGCACTCCAGATCATGGGTACATTCTCAATGTAGATAGACTGTATTTGGAACACACATCAAAACAAACACTCTCCTATCAAGGACCCCCAAGTAATCTATCTGACACATTTTTAAAAAAATCATGTTTAATTTTAGCACTTCAGGCAGCAACCAATCATTTAAAACTTTTGCTGATGTTACAAGGGTATTAGTTCAAACGTAAGCTGTGTAAATATGGTCAATGTTAACTTCTTTCTCCCACATTGGTGTTTTGGGAATATATTCCAAGCAATAAATTATATATATAGCTTCAAGAGTTCTCTCTCTCTCTCTCTCTCTCTTCCTCCCCCTCCCTCCCTCCCTCCGCGTGCATGCATACATATATATAATATATATTCTTTTTACTTTTTAGACCTGGAATGGCCAGTCAACCAGCAGAAGTTCAGAGTCTGAAACTAGTTCATGATTCAGTTATAGAAGGAATAAGTGACCAGGTATTGGTAGCTGTTGTGCTCAGTTTCACTTTCATTGCCGCACTGGTGTATATGCTTTTAAGGTGAGACAATGGTGATAGGAATTGATCAGTATATGCATTCCAACGTTATTGTTGAAGTTTTAACTTTTTCTATTAAATCGAATAGTTGCATTAAGGTGCAAAATAATTATGATTCCATGGTGTTGAAATAAACTGTTGACTTCCCAGTCCAGATGTCTTGTTATTTAATTGACGATTACTTGACACAGATGGATGTTTAGTCCATAACTCATAGTGAAGAGACAAGTTTTCCAGGAATGATACCAAACTCTCTTCCTGATCTTCAGTTAGTCAAACTGAAGAGTATCCAACATTTTGTGAGAATGGATATTACTAAATTCATGGCCTGCATAGCTAATATCTCAATCACTTGCTAATTACAGAGCTGTTACTTCAGTGAGGAATTCTGTGGCACGTTAAAGAGCAACAGATTTATCTGGTCATAAGCTTTTGTGGGCAAAGACCCACTTCGTCAGATGCATGCTTTTGCAGATACAGACTCGCAGAGCTACCTCTCTGAGAGATGTTAATAATGACTCTCTACTTAAGGTTTCAGTTACACTTTTGTTATAAATCCTAGTTTTAATCCCCTTACACTTTTGAATGGATTGAGTGAGTTGTTTGTAGATGGGTATGCTTCAAATACTATAGGGTAAGAAGAGATTTTTTTGCGGAAGCGGGGGAGGCACCTTAAAGGCTAACGTATTTATTTGGGTATAAGCTTTTGTGGGTCAGTGCATTTGTGTTTAAGGTTGTCTTTAAGTCAGCATAACTTTTTAAAGGGTTATGCATAGAGATGTTAAAAGGGTTAAATGATAGTACTTAACCAGGTCGCTATTTTAACCAAGGTCCCATCTAGGGCTGTAATAGCGTAGTCGATTACCCAGTAAACAAAAGCTTATCGGGTAATGCTGTAGATTACACGCATCCCCTCCCGCTTCCCCTCCCCCCACAGTCTGGCTAGCCGTCCAGCTCAGTTCCAGCTTGTTTCAGGCCCAGGAGCTCAGTTCTACCCCCAGACAGGAGCTGCTGCCACCCTGAACAGCTGCCTCGTTATCAAACACAGGCACGCGGGGCGACAGGCAGCTGGTCCATGAGGGGAGCTGGGATTTAAACTGTCTCCCCTCATGGACCAGCTCCCGTTGATGGAGTGGCAGGGGACTCCTCAGGAGTGAAGCCGGAGTGCACTGGCTGCTGGCCCTAGCCCTGGGGACTATAGAATAGTTGAATAACTGATAAGAATGTGACGTTAATCGACTGTTCAGTTAACCGATATTTAACATGCTTAGTCCCATTGCCTGGCTTGCTGGCCCCACTGGAGTTAACTGACAAGGCCTAGTTAACCTGTCAGCATACTGGTAAGTCTCATGCTTACCTGTGTACTTATCAGTTAACATCCCTAGTGAAACAGCATCCTTGGCAGGTTCTGCTCCTGAGCTTGAAGGCTAGCAGGCACCCTGACCCCCTTACCCAGACTCCAGCATTGTCCCCACCTCACTTTGTAAACCTCCTGCATACCTCTCCTTAGCCACCACGCACTGGATGAGAGGAGGAGCATGTGCCTTTCCAGAGGTGAACCGTTATGTTTGATGGGGGGAGGGCACTCCAAGAATTTAAGTGGTCAAGGGTGGCATTTTTCTACAATATTAATGGATGAGGGTGCAGGATCTGGGATGGAGTGTGGGCACATGAAGGAGTTCTGGATGGGGATTAGGGTGCAGGAGGGGTTCTGACATGGGGTAGGAGTATAGAAGGAGATGTAGGGTCGGGAACAGAAAGGCTCCCTAGCTACTCAAAGCAGCTGATGGCTAGAACCAGCGTGTGTGTCTGTGCAGTGCACCCCTTGGTGGGACATGGACAGTGGGTCTCCATGTGCTATGTGCTCCTGCAAACACTGCCCTTGAAGCTCCCTTTAGCCAGTTTCTGGCCCCAGCTGCTTTGAGTGACCTGTGGGACCGCGACAACCAGGGAGCCTGTGCAAGGGTCCTGCTGGGCCACAATGGGTCGGATCCAGGTGTTTGGCAGGCCCAGTTTTGCCCACCCTTTCTCAACGCCGTACCATCCATGCTGCTATCCCCTGCATCTGGTCCCCTCTGCCCCGCCAGTCTCTCTCCCATTCATGCTTCTGTCTCCTGCACCTATCCAGCTTTAAACACTTTATTTTAAAATGCTTAAAATTGGGCACAGGCAGGTGCCAGTATAGACTGGGAAGCTTGGAGTGGGGATCATGACGGCTAGAGAGGTGTCAGAGGACAGCAGGAAGCAGCACAGGATGGGGTGCAGCAGTGTGTTTGCGTGGGGCTTTGAAGGCAGAAGTGGAATGTGAAAGGGAGAGTATTGAACTTACGGGATATGGTGATTTTCCCCTTTCTCATTAAAGAGAAAATAAATCACAGTTTGGAATCCGTGCATGGATTCAAAGTCTGAGTTGTTGATGAAGATACTCACAGTAAAAGATCAAAAATTAACAGTAAAAGATAAATTATTTAAAATCTTGCAAGAGCTGCAGCTATTTAATTCAGTCATTATAATGACACTTTTTTGTAAAGTCAGTTTGCATTTATAAGTAACACGGTCTTGACAAATTACAGTCCGCTTGCTGCCATCGTCTCTTAAAGCTGAGAGCTGGTTGTCACAACAGAGAGAGCTGAGATGGTGAAATCTTAGCTCATCCAACATATTAAAAGGAGTCAAGCAATCTAGAATATTATATCAGAAACGACCTAATTGTTTCTCATGCCTTATCTAACCTGCTTTCCAAGTGTCTTAGCTATCTAGTCCATTGCACATCAATAGTCTAGTGTATCGCACACTTTTCACTCTTATAGGTACATCAGCATTTCCAAAAGAGGTGAAACCTACAAGGAAATTAACTTTTTAACATGGGAGATTACAGCGTTACCATATAGGTAGATTAGATTCCATATGTGCATTATCATTTTAATTGGAGGAAAGTGCATGTTGAATAGAGCAGGAGGTGTTACCTCATTTAAGACCACACTTTATTTTTTGAGTCATAACATTTGGTGGTGGCTCTTAAATCATTTCAAATTGTGGGATTTTTTTTTAAAGAAACCAAATAAACAAAGCCTGTTGTATGATGAAGCACTCAAAATTCAGGACATTTCAAAGTGAAATTTGCACAGCTAATTTTCAGCCTGCCTCCTTATATGCATACATTATAACAGGCTTTAGTTTAGTCACATGCAATTTCTTATCTAGTCCAATATAATGGACATGTTTTTCCTGTTCTCTTATAAGGAATACTGTGAAAAAGCAGGACTCCTCTAGAGCTCTTGATGTATTTTCTGTGGCTATTTGCACAGTGAATGTCCTTTTTCTCATTCCCTTATATATAAGGGACAATAGCCTACATCTGTGTATCTGGTATTGTCAAACAATACATCATTTTATAGCGCCACGCATGCAAGTACTCTGCAAACCATTCTCATTTTTATCTGAAAGAATAAGTAAGCTGTGAAATGCTAAAATCTACACTAAACAGATGTTACAATTGCAGAGTCAGGTATGGAAAATTGCAAAAAGTTCATAGAGCCATTGGGGAAATGGGTACTTTAAAGAATAAATAAATAAATAAATACTAGAATTCCAGAATGCATGCTGCATAGGATTTCCTGAAAAAAAAACTAGTGTGTAATTATGTTGTAAACAATTCATAAATTCCAAGACCAGAAGGGATCAGTTTGTGATTGTCTGGGCTGATCTGATCTGTGTAACCCAGGCTAGAGAACTTCTTCAGAATAATTCCTACAACACATATTTTAGAGGGAGACATCCAATCTTAACTTGAAAATGGTCAGTGTTGGGGAATCTCCCACAATCCTTAGTAAATTGTTCCAATGGTTAATTACCCTCACTGTTAAGTATGTTTTCTGGTCTGAATTTGTCTAGCTTTAACTTCCAGCCATTGGTTCTCTGCTAGATTGAATTAAATATTTGTTCCCCATGTAGATATTTATAGATTGTAATCAAATCAACCTCAGCCGTCTCTTTGTTAGGCTAATTAGACGGAGCTCTTTGGTTCTATCATAATAAGGCATGATCTCCAGTTCGTTAACCATTCTCTTGGTTCTTACCATGATTTTAGTTAGCCAGATGTCCACTTATCATGGGTTTGGTCAAGTTTCCCGCTGTCCCATAAAGTTTGTTTACAGCCACCAGTCCTGGCTCTGTGTTCTATGCTGTTAAACAACTCTGATTTACCCCTAAATGTCTTCAGAGCCCAGTAAGCAGTGGAAGTGTTGGTAATGCTGCTACACAATATTGACCTCCCGTGGTGCAGATTCTCTGGTTTCGCATCGATCAGGTCTCGAGTGCCGAACTAGAGAAGTTCAGCCTGTATATGCATGCAGTGAAGGAAAAAATAAGTCATAATTGTTTGTAGCCATAAATGAATTACTTATGGAAATAAAAAATATTGTAACACTTATATCTGAGTTAACTAACATATATTTACAAATAACTTGATTTTAACCAATAGTGGTTTTGTTGTCACTTATTGAAACTGATAATTTTAATCCAAAGCTGTCCTGGAGGATTGGTCATAAAGAGCGTGTTTTCCTTTGACAAAAGTTGACAGGGCAGCACACTTCAGAACAGGGGATCTCAACCTTTTTCTGACCCCTCCCCCCCACTTCTCCATGCAATAAAAACTCCACAGCTCACCTCTGCCACAACTAGTTTTCCACATATAAAAGTCCCAGTGTTAGGGGGTAGCTAGCCAGGCAATTGGCCAGGGCCCCACGCCACATTGCTTAAGGTTAAGATTCAGCCTTGGGTGGCAGGGTTCATGGGCCACGGCTTTCTGCCTGAGTCCCAGTGAGTCTAATGCTGGCACTGCTTGGCGACCTGCTAAAATCTGCTTGTGGCCCCTTAAATGCCTCCAAAGCCCTGGATGAGAATCACTGGCTTAGAATATCAGTGATACTTTTTGAAACACGTTGACCGTGCAGTTTTCTTAATGACACTAGAATTTTCTATAACATCCATTACAATGAGAGTGAATTATTTTCCCCCTCAGTTTCAGGTTTTATTTTCTAAATCACTTTGTGTTTAAAACGTAGGTTTTCAGTCTTCTGACAATCCTCCTTCTTTCACCATTTTCCCTCGCACAGAAATGAGCACCAGAACATTCATCCAGACAACCAAGAGCTAGTGAGGGCACTTCGGCAGCAGCTTCAAACAGAACAGGTACTGTGCTAGAGGCTGGAAATGTCCACCCTTGTAATAGTATGTGGTGTAGATCTGTTGCTCCTTTACTGCTAAAGTTTAAAAAAAAATCTGAAATGGGTGTCTCTGCAAAAAGAAAACGTCCATTGCATAAACTCCATTGGCTGCAGATAGTTTATCAAAACTAACTTGACAAAGTGACAAATTTCTTGTATGGAGATCATGATAATCCTGCACAATTTTAGATCATAAATAAATTTTAAAGGGCCTGTCAGATTTATCCCTGTGTTTCTCAGACTAGAATCCATAACCTCTTGCTGAAGATCTTTAAGCACAGGGAAGTCCCAGCTTTCCCCACAAGGGAGCATAAGTTAGATTATAGGCATGCTCCCTGCACAGGAATTTAGAGGTTGGTAGGAGGAGGAGGTCAGGAATTAAAATCTGGAGTTTGCTTTGCAGTTATGGAATGGTGCTGAGAAGCATTTAGACTAACAAGTTAAGCTTCCTGGAGAACAGCACTGTAACCATGGGCCAGCAGGCTGGGGTGATGAGCCTCTCAGGCCAGCTGAACACATTGTTCCTTTCCCTGGCACATCTGGGGACAGAGTATTCTAGGTTGGGATGCCTGGGCTGCATTTTTAGGGCCAAGTCCCCAGAAGTGGAAGCTAAGCTTTGTGTATGAACAAAATCATCCTCAAAAGTAATCTGTTCAGGAGAGGCATTCCTCTGCCAGGTTTTCTGGTGATTCGTTAGTGACAAACCATGGAAGCAATCCAAGGATTAGCCAAGCAATCATCAACATGCTAGACTTGTTAAAGGTCAACATTAACGCTCCAGCATGTGAGCTTTGCAAGAGATACATAGGTTGCTTCTACAACAGGGCCCAGGGCCAGAATTTCTTAATGTTGATGATGCTGATGCAGCTCCTCTCACCTAGAATAGACAGGCTCTTGCAAGCAGTGAATTGGAAGCTAGTTTTTTTGAGTGTCTCATACTTCAGTGCACGTGAACTAAAGGGTTCTGTTAAATGTAAGCTCACAAAGTCCTATTTCCATTGTCCTTAATTAGCTTGAAGTGCATGCTATATAGAACAGATGGAAGAAAATAAAGTGCTTGTTACACTAGCACCTGCTTACTGAATTAGTTGTTCTATTTAAATATTATTCTATTCCTGCTCTTATTTAGTTTTAAGTTTGAGTCATCTGTGTCTGACTTCTATCCAGTGGAGAATATAATCTGTGTCTTTTAAAACTCAAGTGGTCGTCTAAATTAAAGTTAATTCTTGAACAATTTATCTCTTTTTTTTTTTTTTTTTTTTTTTGTCTTAACAGGATGCATCTGCTGGCGATAGACATCGTTTCTATACAGACATGTCTTGTCCAGTCTGTTTACAGCAGGCTACATTTCCCATTGAAACCAACTGTGGACATCTTTTCTGTGGTAAGTAAAAATGATCACCAGAAAAATTAACTACCATTATCACAACTAGGTTACAGAATTAACATCCCATCGAGGGGATGAAGGTAGGTCACATCTCTATGAAGACAAAACCTCACCTTCCTCCGTCATTGCAAAACCTCTTGAGTAAATGGTTTCCTTGGGAAATCTAAGGGCTTGAATACATAGTTATTTAGGTTTCAAAGGTAGCTGTGTAAAAACAAGGAATCCGGTGGCACCTTAAAGTCTAACAATTTTATTATGGCATAAGCTTTGGTGAGAGTTGCAACTCACTTCTTCATATATATGAAGTGAAAATTAAAGGAGACAAATAGCAGGGGATACAGAGATGGGAGTTTTACATCAGAGATAATTCAATCAAGGTGGATGTGGATAAGAAGGAGAGAATATCTAAAGTGGATATTTCTTACGGTAATGAGTGAGTTAGTCCCAATCTCTATTCAGACCCATCCTGATGGTGTCAGATTTGCATATGAATGCCAGCTCAGCAGTTTCACATTGCAGCCTGTTCTTGAAGTTTTTTTGCTTTAAGAGTGGCAACTTTCAAGTCTGCAACAGTGTGTCCAGACACCTACAGGAAGGAGGCCCTTGAAGAATTCCAGCAGGATTTCAACCATTTCCACCATGTCATCAATCTCAGTCTGTTCTACTCCAAAAAAGAGATCCACTTCTTGGACACGGACCTTCCCTCCTTTCACTTCACAGCATAGTTGCTGTGTGGTTGAACCTGGAGGAAAGAGCCTGCTCCACTCAGGGACAGCAAGTTCTCTTGGAAAGCAAAAAGTCCTCCACCAGGACAACTTACCTGGCAAGGTGGAAGTGATTCTTCTGCTGTGTGGAGGGGCGTGGCGTCTCCAAGATTAAATAAAGTAATCTTTGCAGTCTGTCCATGACTACCTACTGAGCCTTAAGCATCAAGGCCTTGTGCTTTCCTCCATCAAGGTGCACGTAGTGGCCATATCAGCTTTCCACCACTAGGCCCAGGGTAAGCTGGTGTTCTCGCATGACATGACCACCATCCAGTTTCTGAAAAGACTAAAGCGGCTCTCCCCGTTGGTCCGGGACCCAATTCCACAACAGGGCCTTAACTTTGTCTTTTCGAGACTCACTGGGCCTCCCTTTGAGCCTTTGGCCTCTTTCTTCTTCTTGCATCTGTCATGGAAGGTAACTTACCTTGTCACCATCACCTTGGCAAGGCTAGTTTCTGAGATGAAAGCTCTCATATCAGAGCCCCTTACTGAGTTTTCTACAAGGTCCAGCTGTGGCCTCATGGAGCATTTCTGCCCAAGAGGGTGTCTCCTTTTCATGTGAATCAGGATATCTTTCTTCTAGTCTTCTGTCCAAAGCCACACCCTGCCAGTGAGGAGAGACAGTAACATGCTTTGGATATCTGGCACACCTCAGCATTCTAGCTTGAGTGGACCCTTCCACAGCTCATGTCAACTATTTATCACAACAATAGACAGACGGAAGGACTTCCTGGTGGCCTTGCAGAGGTTTTCTAGTTGGATCACTGCCTGCATCCAAACCTGTTATGAACTGGCTTGAGCCAAGGTGCTGGATGTAGTAAAGGCCCACTCAACCAGCACTCAGGCGTCCGTGGCGGACTTCCTGATGTGTCCTCCTATCCAGGACATCTGCAGGGCTGCAGTGCGGTCTTCAGCACACACATTCACAACACACACCACACCATCAGCCAGCAAGCAAGGGATGATGCTGGATTTGGAAGAGCTGTGTTGCAATCAACCCGCGTTCCGGTGGTACTGCTTGGGAGTTACCTTCAATGGAATGGACATAGGCAAATACTTGAAGAAGAAATGACTGATGTTCTTCTAGATGAGTTGCTCATAGCCATTCCATTCCCTTATGGCATGCCCCTCTTTCACAGTGTTTTTAAGGCGAGGTCTTGCTGTGGCCTCATCCAAAGTTATAACCTAAAGTTTCTTCCAAATGCCATATTAACCAATCCGTTCACAGCCAGTCTTCCACTCTGAACTTCACCTAGATTATCAAGAAGCACTGTGGCACACACTTGGTGTCAGGCCTTCTGTTTGGTTCGGACTAAAGCCTTCAGAAAGACCCTGAAATTATCTCACTTGCAGATAGATCAAAACGGTCTGCAGTTCTTAGTCAAAGACTTTCTAAGCAGCTATCTGGCTGCAGTAATTCTTACTACAGATCTTGTAATACTCAAATATCTTTACACATGGATACTCTGTGAGGTATATTTCCATCTTTACAGCATTCTTCAAACGCATTCCCATTATTGGAATATGTAAAGCCACCATTTGGGTGTCTGTACATATATTTACTGAACAGCAACTCCATGATTTTACTTCTGATACTGTGTATGGCTCGGCTCTACTTTCTTCTGTAATTAATTCAGCTCCGAAACCCTCCCACCCAATCCTGACTTAGAGGGAACTGCTTGGTAATTACCTATAGGGGAGCACTTATAGGGACACAACTAGAAGAGGAAGAAGAAGAAAGAATAAATGGCTACTCACCATGTGCAGAAACTATGGTTCTTCAAGATTTGTGCTCCAGTACCCTTCCTCCTTCCCCTCTGCTTTAGAGTTCTCTGCTGTGGAGCTTTGTGAAAGAGAAGAAACTGAGGATGATTCGCCCACATAGCACTATATAACAATGGCACAGGATATGGGGCTGAGTAGCATGCATGCACAGGCCAAACAGACACGGCTCTGAGAAATCTCCGATCAAAGTTGCAGGGGGTGCTAGTTCACCTCTAGTGGCGCACAGTAGGGGGATACATCTCGAAGAACCACAATTACTATACAGGGTTAGCAACCATTTCTGAAGTATCCTTAACTTAATCTAAAGAGAGAAACTGTTTTGTAGCATAAACACTATTCAAAACAAATAACTTTGTATAACTTCTTGAAAAGGTGTCTGATAATAGTGTCTAAAATTACATTCTAACATCTTTTGTTTTTTTACGTACTTCCAGGTTTGAATCAAAATTTCCACTCATTTGAAAATATTTTTTTACTCTGTTTCCTTAAAAGTTTCTAAACTCGGGAGAAACAAAATTAGCTGAAAACCTTTTTAAAAATATAACTGAAGGAGCTGAAGTAGCAGTTTTATAAACACTTGTTGAAGACACCAACCTGAGGGTTTTTTTTTTATCAAGGACACGTTTACACTGAAAAAGTGAATTCTTGAAGAACTACGCTAAAACTTGCAACATTTACATCCTTCGCTTACACAAGGTTTCTGTAGGGGTAACATTCCGTAATTGTATTTTGTGTATCATTTTGATTTCCCCTTACTCAGATTCCCAACATTTGAGATTCTCAAACAAGGATTCTTTATCTGACTTCATCTAGTTTCATGTGCAGCTGTTGTAACTTATTCATTATCTATTCACTGAGTAAAGTTAGCTGGAGCAGATCTGCAAAAGATTTCAGATTTTTCTAGATATCTTAAAACCTATGCAATTCTAGAGAATGAAATATTAGAATTTTTTTACAGGCTGAAATGTAATTTCCTGTGGTTTTCTCAGCTACACTTTACCTTGATAAAGGCTTTTAAGCTTAATCATTTTCCACTTACAATGATGCAGAAACTTTTTTCACTTCTCAATTAATAGACACGTTTACACTGAAAAAGTGAATTCTTGAAGAACTATGTTAAAACTTGCAACATTTACATCCTTCGCTTACACAAGGTTTCTGTAGGGGTAACATTCCATAATTGTATTTTGTGTATCAATTAATATAGCTTCAGGAGGTAGCCGAGTTAGTCTATACAGGATAAACTTAAACAACAACAAATAGGCTGGTAGCACTTTAAATACTAACAAAACATGTACAGTAAAACTCCAGTGGTCCAGCATCCAATGGTCCGGCACTCTTGATGGTCTGGCACCATCTGGAACCCGGAAGTACTCCGGGCAGCCGGACAATTGGAGCTGCTCCGCCCCATGCGTCTCCAAGTCAGCTGCTGCTGAAACTGACCCGTGCTGACTCCGGGAAGCCCGAGGCAGAGTGTGCTGTTGAGTTTCAATTAACTATAGCCTTTACACTACATTTGGTGCTGCTTCTTGCTAAGCAGCAGGACACAGTATACATTTTTATTCTATTAGAAAATTATGACTGATGCTTTTCTTATCAATTTATTTTGTTCCTTATTATTTGTGTCAAACTATTTTGGGATAAAAGTTTGATAAAAATGCACAAAACAGCATTTTAATGTTGTTAATGAAACCTCCTTAAATGTGCTAGTACAGAAGAATAAAAAGATCATCAAAGATTTATCAAAACCGGCTTTGCATTTGAAATTAACTGATTTATTAAACAAACAATGTATTATCTGTAGTTAGTGAATAGAACTGATTGTTTCTAGTTATCATATCCTTCAAGGGGTTTAAAACTAGTAGATCTCATCCTATCACTCGTGGTTTTTATTTATAGTTTGGATAACGACAACAAGTTTTCCTGCTTTTTAATCTCCCAGTTGGTGTCTTTATGAACTAGTCATGAAGTGAACTAAATGAATTAAATAAACTTGAAATCAAGAAAAAAAATCTTTGTACCTTTAATAAAGGCCACTATTGTCAAAAGCTGAGTTAGCACTTCAACAAACTGATTTCATGTGCTTAGCCAATGACTTCCACAGTTCTGTGGTTTTACTTTCTTTAAAAAATGGCCAGCAAACATGTACTGCTTAATGCTATTATATGTTTATTTTAAATTATTTTAAAAAGTTTGAAGTTGTCAATTTCAAATTTAATTTTAAATGGGTTTATTTTTAAAATATAAATCAGTATTTAATTCAAAAAATTTAAAAAGTGTTTGTTTTTTGTTTTTCCACCTTCTAAGGTTAATATTGAAATTGAATTAGATCAGAATTTATTAATTTAATTGCCTGTGGAATTTGGATAAATTTAGTGTTAGTACCTGCAGTTAATATTATATAAAAATAACCAATTATGCCTAAATAGATGAGCCTAATATTTTGCCATTATGTTATCATTTTTCTTGATGCCTACTGTTTTTTCTTGCTGAAATAATTGTTTTAAATGAGAAATGTCTAACAATGTAAAATTTAAATCCTTACAGCTTTTTATATTTACCTCCATTAGGGGCCTGCATTATCGCATACTGGAGGTATGGCTCATGGCTGGGTGCCATCCAGTGCCCAATCTGCAGACAAACGGTAACATTTTATGTCACCAAAGACTCAGTAGTTCTGATTCCAAATTTAGGCCTGGATTCTGAAAACACCTACTCTCATGCTTACATCTGAGACAAGTTAGAGG